GGCTGTATGGCTATGTTCCAGAAGCATTCTCTCCTGGTGTTTCACCCACATCGATGGCAGGCATCCTCAGAAGTTGTGAGGTCTATTGGGAACTAGGCAAGTGGGGTTTAGATATCTGTGGAGTGTCCAGGGTGGGAGAAAGAACTCTTATCTGTTGGAGGCAAGTGTGAATGTTGCAATTAATCACCTTGTTTAGTATTGAATAGCCTTGCAGTTTCAAAACTTGGCTGCTTCCTGCCTGGGGAAATCTTTTGTTGGGAGGTGATTAGCTGGCCCTTATTGTTTCTTGTCTGGAATTCCCGTTTTTGAGTATTGATCTTTATTTACTGTCCTGATTTTAGATTTGTTTTAAATAGTGGTAGCCACTATTTAAAATAGTGGTAGCTCCATGGTGGCCTCATGACCTTGGAGGTGTCTACGGACAACGCCGGCTCTTAGAAACTGAGATGGGCACCACCTCACAGAGTTGGACACAACTAGACTTAACATCAGGGGAAAACCTTTACCTTTACCTAGCCAGATTTTGTTCATTTTCATGGTTTTGTCCTTTCTGTTGAAATTGTCCACATGCTTCTGGATTTCAATACATTGAAAACTGTAATATCAGTCTACTGTCAAGGATGATATTCTATTCCAGTGGGCACAAGCTCTGTTACATTAGTAATTACTGTCATTGTCTGGAAGTTGTCAAAAGTTTGATCTCAACAATGTGTTGTGAAACATCAGAGTGAATGTCTTGATCTCCCACTGTGTAGCTGGTTGTGAAAGAGTGTCATCCAAAAAGTGCAGCATTGCTATGCTAGTGAGATCTAATGCTATAGTGGTGGTGAACATAGTCTTGAACTTGGCCATAGTTTGGTCTATCTATTTTCCTACCCCACAGTGGCACTTTCGGGTTAAATGAATGCTCAGGTGATGGCAAAGGGGGCTCTCATGTACTTACAAAATATCATAAGCAGAAGACTAGCTGGTCAAATTTCACACTACATACACACGTCACATCTACATACACTGGATAGGGATGAGTGACGCAAGTCCGCATTTTAGGGTTGCGCCCAACTCAGACGTCTGTATTCTGTCAGTGTTCCTGATGGTCTTTGCTGAGATTTACATTCTGGTCGTGCTTGGCAGAGAGATACGTACGTGTGAGTGAAGGGAAAACTGCTTAGAGAGCAGCACAGCCTGTTACCAAGAGGTCAAACTATTAATAGCTTTGAATTAAAATATTCCCGAAGAACTTTTGTACTAATTAGATTAAGCCTAAAGTATACTGTGCTTTTTGTTTATCATTTGGGACAAAGGGGACAACAACAACAACAACAACAACAAAAAGACCTATTCAAAGTGTCCAAAACTAAGTAAGTAAAAGAGATGAGTACACATCTTTCCTTCCTCCCCATAAGCCACAAGAGCTTTTCTCAAACTGTCCATTTTTAAAATAATTGAGGAATATGAAGAAAAGATTCTCAGTGGTGACCCCAAAACTGTGGAACTTCTAAGAGACTTGGGTCTCTTTGATAACACACAATTTCACAACGTGATGCCACTTCAACTGCCACGGCTGTATCCGAAGTTGCCTTGGCATTTGTAATTTGGTGCAGAACTATAGTTTTCTTGTAGAAAATTGGAAGCCTCTCATGAAACTATTGCCTCTTACAAATGGAACCATGGGAGTTAAAGCAGAATCAAAGTGTTACAACTATACAGAGTGAAAGAGAACTCACAGTTTGGGTTCCTCCTCATGCATTCAGAACTGCCTTGAAGACTTCCCTCTTGAAGGTTATTTTTAACTGAGGAAGTAACTAACTTGGTGCTATAGAAGAGCTCCATGATATATTTTGTTAATGCTGCTCAGTTTTTCTTTCTTTACTTATATCATAACAACTTCTTTGTTGAGTTCCAGGGCCAAAGATGGGAAAACAGAAGAATGGCCTGCCTCAGGGGAGCGTGCTTGTTCCATCAATGTTAAACATTTACACAAATGACCAGCCACTGCCAGAAGGGACAGAGAGTTTAATCTATGTTGACGATCATGCCATCACCGCTCCAGCAGG